ATTCACTCATTTCTGTCGTTTTTCTTGCCCAAAAAATTAAAACAACGGATGTCGTAAAAAATACGACGTGCGCGTGCTCGTGTAAAATTGCCAAGCGCGCATGCTGGAAGGTTAATAATTAAATTTAGAAGGAGGAAAATGCATTAAATGATGCGAATAACATTAAAATAAAGTTAATTATTTAAGAATTAAAAACAGAATAACAAAAATGGCTAGTATTTTGGCGAATATAGATATGTTAAATGGTTAGCCTAGATGATTGATTTCATTTTTTTATTTTACAGCAAAATGACAAACAAGGCATTTAAGAAATAATAAAATGTTTAAAATATGTTGTTTTATACGAAAATGGGGGGGGAGGGGAAGATTTACTTTCGTTCAAGATGCACATGCGAATCTCTAGATTGTCGAGGTTACTGGAAACAAAAGATGCTGGAAACTTGCTTTGCTTTTCTAAAAGACAATCTGACTTGCTCTACACCAGCTGTCCAAATGACCCTCATGAGATACATGATTCATCAGCTTTTCCAGGTTTTGATTTCCAGATCCGATTATAAATTCCCTGACTTTTGTGGTCAATTTTCGAATTCCACGACTTTTCTTGGTTTTTCAGGTAGCGTGGTAACCTTGCATCCATATGCCAAAAAGATCTTCACATTTTATTAAAGTGCAATGAATTTTCTTCAATATTCACATGACAAAATGAGCTAGATAACTGAAGCAGAATTAAGTGAAATCATATACACAATGCATCAAGAGCAGACATGTGCAAAACAAACGAATATGTGGGGGAACAAAGCATACAAAAAGGGGTCTAGAACACAGGGTTTCCCAACATGGATGTTGTTGCCTATCAATAGGCTGTAAGGAGATCTAAGGAAGTATTACTGAATGAAGGGCAGTAAGTGGGCAAAACGAACATACTTAAAAAAATAGTTTGCATAAACATTTTCTAGGGGTCTAGAAACAGGGTTTCCCAACATGGATGTTGTTGCCTATAAAAAGGCTATAAGGAGATCTAAGGAAGTATTACTGAATGAAGGGGCAGTAAATGGGCAAAATGAACACGCTTAAAAAAATAGGTTTCATAAACATTTTCTAAACATGCATTTAAACATTATATTAATTACATAAATATTACAAACACACAGCATTTATTAATTGAGTTTGTACAGTTACTTATATTAGTCTGCATTTTCATAAACCTACATTCATTAAGATGATATTTACATTATTAAAGAAAGTAAGAAAGCAAAATATCTTAAATTAAGCTAATATATGTCAAGTAGCAAAACTTCTGATGACTGGATAAAGCCGGTCACAACTCGGAGGGTTAAAGGTATCATACTAAACCATGTCAGTCGATCCTTTACATATGCTGGTTCAAGCTGAATGTAGGTTTATTTTTCTATTCCAAGGTAATGATGTTTTCTAGTAACATTCAACATGTGAAAGGAGCACATTTTAAAAATATATGCTATTGTGTACATTGTCGCAGGAATCTAAGAATGGTACATCAGGTTGTCTTTAATTGTTATCATTCTATTCTCAATATTTTGAAAAGTGGTTTTTAATAAATAATTTGGTCAAATGCAAGTAATATAAATACCTAAACATTTTTAAGCTTTTTCAATCAGTATCTGCAGATCACATTCAGAAGGAATAAAATATTACTGATGCAAGGACAGGCAGCTGCTCTCCGAAAGGTACAGTGAACCACAAAAGAATCGGAAAACTATGGACTAGAGCAGTAGTTCGCAACCTCTTTTGGCCCCACCACTGCTAGAAGATCATCTTCTCCCTCTTTCTAAAGCTTGATGAATACATATACATTTATTTAGATTACTTTTTTAACAGCACTATACATGTTGGTGGGACACCAGAATTTCACCACAGGTTGTACAGGCATTCACCATACTAACTACACAGCTCTGCCTCAGTTTTAAGGAAGAACAGCATAGCGGGCAGTCCAAAGGTCTCTCATCCCTCTTCCCAATACCATTAACCACTTGAGAGGACTTTTGGGCCACCATGTATTTTGAGAGCCCCTTGCCACACATACACCACATGCTTACAAACATTACAGCCTTCTTCAGAATTAGAGTTTGGGTTCATAGTACCACAGTCAACGTCACTAACAACTTTACCTGGGCAGCTTTTAACAGCACAGTGGGAACCAGGTGCAGTCTGGCTGACCATATCCTCCCTGTAAGACCCTCTGGTGCAGATCAAGTTTTAAAAAATTCTTTTCATTCATGACCCCTTATCATCAAGACTTTTTTGTAACTCAATATTAAATATAGAATAAGGGTATAAAAATAAATATTTTCCCACAAATAATTTATTTCTTTGGTAACAATATAGCCATATGAAAAGTAGTAGTTTCAGGATTTGTTTTAAGTACATGAAAACATTACAAGCATTGAAGTTGAAATACTTATTCCACATAAAAGTTTTTAGTCACTTGACAGCTAAAAAACTTCATTTTGGGATAAATAATGGCAGATGATTAATCTTAACAATGTCGAATAATGCAATTTTTTAAAATTCATTCACCTGACTTAAATTTTCACAACCTGTTAGGGGTCACGACCGACAGTTTAAGAAACGCTTGTCTAGAGTTTGGAATATAACATAAAAATTATCTCTTACAGAAGCCCCCAATATTATTATTTTTATAGGTACAGAAGCTCTATGCATGATTTTAATAGTGCTTACTTATTATCATAAAAAATATGGATTTTAAAATAAGCTGAATATTTAAAATAAAATACATAAGAGTAAAAAGAAAAAAATTCTTAAAAAAAATTGTTAACAGCTGAATGATGAGTTTGGCAGAAAAGTAAAAAATGTTAAAAAGTTCTTACCTCGAAACATTAAATTTGCTTTAGGAAGATCAATTTGATATCCTATACTACATAGAGTTTCTCCTAACCTTAAGTTTGTTTCCAATTCAACACCCATCTAAAAGAAGGTTATATATATATATATATAAAATACATAGGGTGATTCTAAATTGCTTTTACAAATTAAGAAGGGTGATAGTACCATGCAGACGACCAATAATTACCACAGAACATAGGGTCGCATTTTACGCCGATAGGCAGAAAAGAGAAAGATAGAGATGCATAAATAAAGGAGAAGACTATCAAGAATTAACCGAATACAAATTTGCACTGAGAAGAAGAAACATTTTGCTCTTAGTTGATACCAGAGAAAGCCAAACAGAGCAAACGGTGTCCTTGAAGATGACACATCATCATTTCAATTATTACCTTGATAACATAGTCTGCAATTTTTTGTGAATACTATGGCGGAATACACATATGAGGGATTGGCAAATATTCACTTCCCATACGGTGAAGCAAAAGGGAAGAGATGCAAAGCATGAATATTGTACGAACAGCAGTTTCCAATTCATCGGATTCCAAGTCATGCAACCTTTTCCAGTGTTAATTGGAAGACTGTGGTTCTTTTGCCATCTCAAAAAGCAATGCAGGGCGTTCGTGAAATGTACAAATGCCAGAAACGGAAGGGCGAGTTTTGACTAGATTTGAAGCAGCTCCTTCCACAAGTACGCAAGCGGTGGCACACGAAATGGGCATTTCGCAGCTAGTGATGTGGCATATTTTACATGAGGAACACACGCACCCCTACCACATACAAGTGTAATCTTTGGACACAGATGATTATTGCTGTCGAGCAGACTTTGTGCAGTGAATGCTTGAAATGAGGAATAACGATCCATGATTTCCTGCCTTAATATTACTTAGTGATGAGGCAACATTCAGCAGAGAATGCATTTTCAACATGTACAATCAACACGTTTGGTCTGACACCAATACCCACTGTACTACCCCTCATAAACAACAGCAGAAATTTTCCATAAATGTCTGGGCAGGTATCCTAGGCGATTATCTGGCAGGCCCTTACATCATGCTAGATCGTTTGACCACATCTTCTTCAAACAAGTACTTCCCAGTTTATTGCAGGCTGTTCCGTTCCCCATTCAGAGAGACATGTGGTTTATGCTCGAGAGCCCCAGCAAATTTTTCTGTCACGCTCCATAACCCTGTGAATGCCACATTCCCACACAATTGATCGGACATGGCGGACCTGTGTCTTGGTCCCCTAGCTGACTCGACCTCAACCCACTGGACTTCTGGAGGCAGAATGAAATCTTTAGTGTATGATATGCCTGTGGACTCAGCTGAAGGTCTCATGGCAAGATACCAGGAATCTTTGGAAGGGTGCGCCAGTCGTTCCTTTCGATGTCAACTGTGCAACAACACGTGTGGTCAGCATTTGGAGCACTTTCTGTAAGTTTTTCACTAAACAATAAATCTGATTGCACAACTTTTGGTCTCATTCATTCGCTTTCCCAGCACTGTTGTAAGTTCAGGTTGGAATTCTGATACTCCTCTTTTCTGCCTCTCAGTGTGGAATGCGACCCTATGTTCTATGGTAATTACTGCTCATCTGGATGGGTACTATCACCCCTCTAAATTTGTAAAAGCAATTTAGAATCACCCCATACATAGCAAAATGTACAATATTACAAGCTAGATAATATGTATACACATATTATGTATCAAACCATTACTTTACTTACCTGCATATTTTCACCACCTTTACGATAAAAACAAGCATGCAGAGAAGCAAGATTCACTGTTGCACTTGCAGTATAATTAGACCCTGGAACAAGTAAAAAGTTCAAAACTCAATATTATAAGCGAGACGACTTACAACATAATTCAACCATGAAATAAGTAAGACATTCAAAACTTGCACAAAGACACAAACTAACAAATAACTGCTCTTCTCTTAATTTTTTTTTATCAAAATATATTTTATTAATTCTTATATTTTAATAATTTTTCCTTACAGCAAAATATCTAGAAACATTTTTTCAAGAAAAGTAGAATGCAGAATTTTTACATAGATCTAACATTTTATCTCCCTTGCACAAATACACCGATAGATAAAAAAGTTCCTGGTCAAGCTCAGTTGCATACCAACAAGTGGTAGCCCATGGCTGCACTATAGCAAGTGACCACGAACCTTGATAAAGGGCAAGAAACATTGCTGTTTTAACATTGAGAGTTATTTCATTGGTGTTTTGTGATGATATGTGCATTGCAGCCCACAATTACACTATGGACAGTTTATGATTCGCCAGGAAAGTGATCGGTTCTTACATTGCCACGAAAATTGCTTTTTTGGTTTGGGGATCTCAGTACGAAATACCTTGAATTTCCCAGATTTTGACTAAACATTTAAATTCCAGGACATTTCCCGGTTTTTCAGATGTTCCCGGTAGCATGGCAACCCTGAATAACAGATACAGTTCTTGCCGATTTCTTCCTTTTTCTGCCAGCAGCCGAGCGGCTAAGTCTCTAAATACGGTTAGTTCAGTTTGGGCTTCAATTCCTGGTTAATGGGCTGGCTGGGTGTTTTCGTGGGTTTTGCCATATGTAACACGTACATGAGCCAATTTCTCTTAGGAAGTCCTCCATAGGCATCTCTCTGCTTAGGTAGATAGCCATTGAGAGCTTAAGATAGGTTTGGCTATACTCCAATAAACCAAACCTTTTTCCACAGGTGAAGACGAAGCTGAAAGGTAGTCATTTTTTCACAGTTACCACGATCCAGTATAAGTCACAAAATGTTATAGATCTGTTCATGCAAAATGGCAAAGGCTGCATTAAGCAGAGGTAGAAATGCGAGGACATTGCTATGGAAGGTGAATATTATGAAGGAAATTATAATAGGTAAGTAATGCACTTTCTAATCCACCATGTATGTGATAGAATAAAACACATTCCTAAAAGCTAAATTTAAAACACACACTAAAAAGCACCACAAAAAGAAGGATAAGCATGTTATAATTGGAAGTAAAGTAACCAAATGATAGAATTTGAGATGAATGAAAAATTTAAATAAAACTAATATAAAAAGTAATGTTCAAACGAGGAACCTTAAAAACACTAAATAACTCAAGATCAACAAAACAGCATTTTCTGGCTACTAAAAACAAAACACGAGAATTGTTTACAGTAAAAAGGTAAATGATTAATTAAATATAATGAATTATGTTGGAAGAGACTTTTGAAACAGTTAAAATAATGTTCGAATTACTTTTAGTATTTGTTACAAAAAATAAAACTTTGCTTTCAATTCATGATAATTTTTTTATAAAGAATAAGGCATTTAACTAGTAAATGAAATTAACAGAATGAATGAAGAATAACAAAATAATAATGAATGTTTTTTATACGGGCAATCAAAGACAAGTGCCTCTTCTTCAGCAGCAAAAACATTTAGCCTAATTTTAAAGAAAATGGGTCACATTTTGATTATATGTAAGAAATCAATGAAAATCACATGAAGCTACTTTAATATGCCATCATGAAATTGAATGGAGGGTGAACTATTAGCATTCTCAAGTTTTTAGCACTGGTCAACTTTAAAAATAAAAATAATAATGAATAGCACAGTGGTTCTCAACCTTTTTTCCTGCATGCATCCCATTCATCACTGCTAGAAGATCACTCCCCCCTTTCCAGTTTTTTCAAACTAAAAAAATACATACACATTTATTTAGATTTAGGTTCTTTTTTAATCAGGCTGGCCGCATTCCTCTCTGAAACTATGAAATCCATCCTAAAGGGGAATTCTTCCCGGGTTGAGAACCCCTGGAATAACACATACCTGTATACCTTCCAGCTAAAGACATTGCAGACACATGACCTCCAGGAACTTGAGGACCATACTGGCATACCATTTCAGCACCAAGTGCCAAAGATGGAATAACATTTTGAAGATAATGTAGGACAGCCACCCCTGAATTATTCAGGATATCTGTGTTGGCTAGCATTAAAGAAGCTGTGTAATCTAACCCCTTGTAATCAAGAGCGAGCTGAGAAGCAACAAATTTTGAGTCTTGGACCTGAAATTCATTTTAAATTACTTAACGGTAAATAACATAACATTTTATCCAATAAATTGTAGTTTTCTTATTTTAGAATCATAAAATTCAGAAAGGATTTAAATCTTTATTATTAAATAATAAAGAATTTGCACACATGTACGTCGTGAAAACATGGCAGCAAACACTATAGTCATGAAGAACAAAGTGTTGGCACTACCCAAATTAAAGTACTTTTATTTTTCATGGGACAGTGTGCTGTCGTTCAGCAAAGTGTATTTGCATTTTTCTTCCAAATTTAATTTGTTGTTAATTAACCCTCCGAGCAGCACAGGATTTTAGATCTGTCATGAAGACCGGTATTTAAAAAGCATTTATTAATCTAGATTGTTTAATTACTTATTTTAGTCCATATTTTCATAAACTTACATTCTTTAAGATGATATATTATTAAAGAAAGTAAGAAAGCAAAATATATTAAATCATAAGCTAATATGTGCCAAGTAGCCAAACTTCAGATGACCGGATAAAGCCAGTCATAATGCTCAGAGGGTTAAGAAAGAGAATTAAAAGCAATAAATGCAGATTTATTTCAATTATTAATTGCTAACTGGACTTGTGAAATTGCATTAGTTAGATTCTGTACAATCATTATATATATATGTTACCATGAAAGACCGATATTGAAGAATGTCGACTTTCACTGGAGAATGTCAACATTCATCAAATACGTCGGTGAAAGATCGAATATTGCATCACATTCTTGTACATTCGGACCTTCACCGGTCTATGTCGACAATCACAGATATGCTCTGGTGTAAGTCGAAAAGAGAGGAGTATATGTACATGCTGTGACTGCAAAAGGAAGTGTTCCACAAATAAATGCAGTTGTAAAAGAAAGGGCCTCTTATACAATTCGAATTGTCATAACAGTTTAAGTTGTTGCAATAAATAAGATTTGAATCACATAATTTAGTAAGTTTAACTTCTATTATTTTCCTTTCTCATTTTGAATGTACTGTGTGTTTTAAGTTCTTATTTTAAGTCTCAAGTGCGTTTTTTTTTCAAGACTGAATTACGGAGAAGAAAACATAATACCCTTATATGTTCAACATTCCCCATTAGTACATGGTGAATGTCGACATTTACCGGTGTAAGTCAGAAATAAGAGTATTTGGAAAATATTTCGGACATACACCAAGCAACTATGTGAATGTTGACATTCTCCAGATTTCGGTATTTCACTGTAACATATATATATGTGTGTGTGCATGTGTAATGATTCAAAGCTGTAGATGACTTACTGATTCCCAAACTGTGCACAGACTGACAAGAGCCGTGTAAATGGAAATGATGGAAAGAGAAGGCATAGTTGGAATACAATGGTATTTATAGTACAATTTTTCTTTAATGTGATTGGCTAAAAACAATGCAGAAGGTTGAGAGACAAATTTTAGGGCAGTCACTGAGGTATGCATGGCCTCGTGCTCTTAGAATACATATATTTTTGAATGCATTATTATGGACATTGGATAGTGATTCGAATTGTGAAAATATTTCTGAATATGACTTGTACAATTCAGATACGGCCTTTGATTCTTCAAGAATGCCTCTTAAATGAAAAGAATAAGGCTGTTAAAGGATTTACTTGTGAAAAAGATTTACAAAAAAATAGACTTTAGCAATGCAGTGGACATTCTTCAAAATTCACTTCAATTCGAAGACAAATTGATGGGTTGCCAATATCTAAAGGACAATCCAGAGACAGGATAAGAATTGACATTCAGATATGGTAGGTGCGTAGATTATAGAAACTAACTCGCATACTCAGAACATTAGAGGTGAATATTTTAGGGCTCATAACAAGTCTTGATTTATCTGATATCACTGATTCTGATGTTTTAGAAAGTGATGATTTATCTGTTGCTCATCTAAATCCTGAAAATGTTGCTGGCCAGTAATGTAGTCCTTCCCCCTATTTCGAGTAAGGTTTCTAAGACAAGACAAGGTACAGACAAGGGTACTAAAATTGTGGATCTTCTTAAAGCAGGCATGCAACAGATGTGTGGAAAAAAAAAAAAAAAAAAAAAAAAAAAAGGGAAAAGGAAAAGGAATTTTGACTATCGGAAAGGAAAAAAATTCAACTATACTGGTTATCAAAAATTAAGGAAAAATCACAAAAATCATGATTACTGAAAAGGTTACATGTAGAATTTTATGAAACTTAACCACAATATACAACACATAGTAAGGTATCAAATAACATAAAAAGAAATTACCAGACAATTATTATGGTAGCATAAAAATTAGCACACGTATAAAATGAAAAAATCGAAGATGTCAATTTGCTATAGTAAAAGTACCTTCAATATGGAATATAATCGCCTCTAGAAGCAATATAGCACATTCAGCGATGTGTGATGCTTTCAATTATGCGGTCTATCAGTTCCATAGTAAGCGAGAGCCATTGCTCTTGCAAAGTAGTTGCAAGCGCGGCAAGGGTCTAAGGGGGCAGATTGAGAGCAGCTAAACGTCTCCCTAAAGCATCCCAAACGTGCTCGATAGGATTCAAGTCCGAGGATCGAGCTGGCCACTCCATGCGCATGATTATTTGCTGTTGAAGATAATCATATACGATGTGAGCCCTGTGTGGTCTTGTGTTGTCATCCTGTGACAGGAAAGCATCACCTATTGCCCTGGCATATGGGTGCACATAAACATCGAGGATGTCATCTCTAAAAATCTGAGCATTTACGGTTCGCCTTGGAAAGACATGGAGGTCTGTGCGTCCACCCAAAGAGATGCTACTCCAAACATAGACACTGCCCCTTCCGTATGCATCTCTTTCACAGATGCTTGACGGATGATAACGGGTTTCAGGTTCTCTCCATATCAAATAACGCCTACTATCGCTTTCTAGACTAAACCTGGATTCATCCATACAGAGAACCGCCCTCCAGTGATCAGACATCCAGTGGAAATGTTGTGCCCACTAAAAACAGTCCCTCCTATGGCGCGACGCGAGCGGCACACAAATGGTTGGTCGCCTCGCATACAGACCACCTTCGTGAAGCCTTCTATGCACAATTGATGTTGACACGAACCTTCCTGTGGCTGCAGCAAGGGAGGATCTAAGAAGAGTCTGAGTAGCGGTTCTATTCCTGAGTGCACATAATGTCAAATATCGATCATCGGCGCTCGTCGTAGCAGTTGGCCGTCCTTGGCTGAACCTCCTAGATGCCGAATCTGTGATTTGAAATTGCCTCCAAAGTCTATGAACCACAGAAGGACTCACATTTAGCCATCTCTGGTCACTTCTGTTTGACTTTGTCCTGCCTCTAGTCTCCCAATGGCTTTCTGTCGTAGTTCTGAAGGCAAATGATGCCTGGAGATCATTGTTACGAATGGCTATCTCAGATTTCTGATGTCGCTATCACAGTGCAATATGTGTGCTTGCTCTCAAACATGGACTTTTATGCTCCTCGCAGATAACGTATTCCGAGTGCAGCGGCATTAATTTGCATATACGAGTTTTACTCAGCTATGCTTACTTGGAAACATATTCAAATTTTACACGGTTTGGCTTATTTTTGAGGGAATTATCGCTGTTTTTGTGATTTTTCCTAATTTATGATAACCAGTGTATTAAAAAACATACCCAAGATGGCTTTACCTTTCCGAGGAAGACCATGCACCCCACCAAATTAAGCAAAGGTTTTCTTGACTTGGATGTTAGCAACAAATTTAACGTATTTAGTGATTCCAACAAGGCTAATACTACAAGTAATGACATAGTTATTTGCGACACTGACAATGTTAGCACAAATATTGATAATGGAAAGTCAGATAAGGTTATAACCCCACATAATGTGGAGTCTCCAGTTGTCAGAATGAATCAGACTATGGTTATTCCCACAATTACTTTGTCAAAAAGTTGTCCAATATCTACTTTCAGTTTACTTCCCACATACACATTATCTATAGAGATTCTTAAAGTTATCTCCGCTAACACTGATGAACATCGGAACATAAGTGCTTACTTAACTCAGAATAATGTTCAGCATTATGTGATGTACCAGAAGAAAGTTAAACCCTTGAAAGTAATTATCAGGGGGTCTCTGATTGTTCAGTTAACAATATAATGGATGAACTTCTCAAGGAAGGATTTAACATGATAAATGTTGTTCAGATGATTAAATTTAGAACACGAGTTCCAATGCTGTTGTTTCAAGGCGTACTTAGTAACAAGCCACGCTCTGAAAAAACATGATGATGTAAAATTAATGAATTTTATTGCATCAATACAGACATATAAAAATATGAGGACAAACTCAGAAGTAAAAACTGAAAATGAGATCATTCCAGTTCCAAATTCCTACAAATACCTGGGTGTAAGTATCGGCAGTCTGCTTTCAAAGATCATGTCACAGAAAAAAAATAAAGTAAACAGAGCTTTCATGGCCTTATACAGTCTATTAGACAAAAAATCTAAGTTAGCTAGAACTAATCTAAATTATCAAGTTAAAGAACATTCTGATATTAATCAGACCCATATTATTATATGCAAATTCATACAGATTTAAAGATAATCCGATTCAAGAACAAATCGTAATAGATGTACATAATTTCTTTGAAAAAAATGGAAAAGCCATCTTATAGTGCAATTATAGAAATTGTTAACTATGACCCTACTGTGGAAAGCATAGTGAAAAGACCTAGGTCAATTCACCACAATTCAAAGTGGTAAAATTGTAAATATTTACTTACAAAGGGAAATGGACTTTGCTAAAATAACTTAGTTTATTATTCATGTTATTTTTCATTACTTATATATTATTTTACTGTGATTCTGCCAAAGTCAAATGGACTTTGTGCCTGGCAGAGCAGGCTATAGACTTTGTTAATTAACCAAATGTTATTTATTGTGTTACAAATTGTGTGTATGAAATTACTATGCTTTCATGGTAGAACATCCTGATTTGCCAGTTCATATCATGTGATCTCATCTCGCGTAAACTACATTACAAAAATCTAATTCTCTCAATAATAATCTACATTAATTTCAAGTTAAAGCTGATTATGGAATACAAGTTTAAAAGCAAGAATTATTTCAATTCGTCCGAAATGCATACTGAGAAATTATGCAAAACCACATCGCTTTACTTCACTAGCGCATTCTCATTAGAACTGATGAACTTAACCATTGACTTTGGCTTTCCTATATTTTCGCCTTCGGATAAGCGGTGCCATTGCACCCTAATTGACTTAATTACCCCGAGTGGCTTTAGGGTATAAAATTGAACTACCTGGTAAAAATTTTATGTAATTGTATGCCAGTATTGAAAGAAACGATCTGCAAAGACCATGTATCCTCCCAATATCCCGGATTATTAACATGGACAGTAACAGCGATTCTCTTCAGCATGGAGCAGCGAGCTGATGTATGGAATTCTGACATGGAAAGGAGATGTCGAAGATTATAATGAAAATAGGAATCTAGCCGGATGTAATTAGACACAGCAGCACTTATATGAAGTATTGTATGCATTAATTTAAACAAAAGTGCAATTTTTTTTTTTGCAGCTGAGGATGATGGTTCGGTAAAAACACCGAAACTAGTCCTGTGAAAATTTGAAAATATAACGCTGATTTTTGTTGTTTGACCTCTAAATTAATATTTGTTTGTCGTGTTATTGTATGTAATTGTTGCAGCCATGTACCTGACAACACATCAGTCAAGTTAGTTACCCGTTATCCATCCATCATCTTCATGTTTTATTTTTTCCTCGCATGTCATAGGTTGACGCTCATCAGTTTTGTTAAGCTCAAGGAAAGCATCCATTAAAGTTTACATTTAACATGCAGTACATACGGTCTAGGTAAGGAACGAAGTTTCCCTATACTTCAAAAATCACATGATTAAGAAGAGCCCCTCCCCCCGAAGTTAAAAATAGCATTAGATTGACGGCACAGATTTAAACTTGTCATACTGTGTGAAGTATGATATTAATTATATATATTATTAGTTTTTACAGTAAAATATTTAAAATAAGTATGTATCCTTGATCTTTGGAATTAGAAGGCACATGAAACTTTTATCTCCATTAATTTTTGCTATGTGTATTCCAATTTTGACAAACATGACTAAACTGGTAGATTTGGTATAAGTTTATTCACAGTATTCTAGAAAATATAAATATTTTCCAAATATAAGTTAACCAAATTTAACAATCTCAAACATATTAATTTTAAATTCTTTTTAGTTCAAAATGGATACTTTTGGCAACTTCAATTTTTTTTTTTTTTTTTTTTTGTAAAGTGGTTTAGCATGTCCGAAGAACGGTGTAAAAGTCTATTTAATGCCCAATAAAAAAGAAAGACACTCGAGAAACAAAACCACAGGTACAGATCATACGCTACTCATCTGCAAGACCATACTCACTGTATCCTGTGCTCACTTATATAAAGGTATCCTGTTCAAGAATACCTTTATAAAGTTAGCCTAAAGAAAATAAAAAATGCTCATATTTCTATATTCGGGCAGATCACAACAGCCAACGTCTTATTTGTAACACAGCTATAATAAACACTTTGTCCCCATTATCATCTTTATTACTAAACTTGACAGAAAATTCTGAAAAAGTACTAGGAAAAGTAACTAACTTCACAAATTCCCATTCTGGATTATCATATTTTTAATTTATTATGTTTTTACAGTACTTACGGTACCACTTCCTTTAAAATTCCGCAGTAATGACTTATGATTCAGCCAATGGTAAATGAAATAATACGTAAGTATTGCTTTTACTACTGCCTGACGTGTACTGCAGTAATCTCTCTGAAACGTTCCTTCAAACTTAAGCAGTGTTCAGTGTATCAGAGAAAGAGAGAGCAAACCCTCTAATTACTTGAAGTCTGCTAACAATTTTTTACAATGAACAATTTGTTTTTTTTGTTTTTCTTCATTAATTTAATTTTGCTTCTGTCCATATTCTAAACAAATTTTCTTCTTCACACTTAAATTATTTTTTTATCCTTGGCTATTAATTATTATCCCTTTGTTACTAAGAACCTAGCAATACAAATATATATTTTTTCTAAAAATTATGTATGTTAGTAGTCATACAGCCTCCCCTTTCTTTCAAACACATTTTCAGATTTTTTCAACTCAGTGAAAAATGATATGCTATCATTAATGACTGAAAATTTTACACTGTAGTGCTCAGTCGAAGTACCAGCAATATGAATGTTCCGGTCAGCGAAAGCACAACAATTTGACATTACTTTTAATAAAATTTACAAATTTACTAAATCAACACATAAATATAAAAATGTAGAATATTATACCTGAGCAACATATTTTCCACGTATATTTTTGTATTGGTGAATGATATGAGCACTCAGGTTGCCACTAGGATCAATATCACCCAATAAAATTGGATATGCCTAAAAAAAATATATATATATTTGATATTACTTAAAAGCTATGACTGTGTGACAAATTCATAAAAATAATAAATATCTTTTATTATATAATAAGCTAGTTCCATTATGTTCACTACAATGAAATATCTATTACATCTTAGCCCTGCAATACCTTACGTAAATGTGCTCATAGACATTTGAGCACACATACATTTTTTTTTCTTCACAAAAAGTAATAAAAGAGGTGATTTCTAATAAATATTGTTAAAGTATACTAATCTTACACTATTTCGCATTGCACACCTATTTACAGCAATACAGAAAAATAGTTAACATAAAGTAAAAAATAGAGTACCTGGATCGTTTACTTTATGCTAATTTAAACTAATGATGATCTGAGTATTTTTACTGGATTGATCAACTAAGTGGCAATGAAAAGATGAATCTTTTCCTTATATAATTTAAGGATCTTTTGAATGCAATTACGTTTTAGCTAATTTTAATTATTAGAATAACAGACAAATAGTGAATCCTGGGCAAGCTAGTAATTTTACAGCAGAATAATTACCAGTAATTACATAAATAGTAATTTTTTAATGAATAATGAATAACATTGCGGACTTCAGATATTTAAAAATTATTTCTAAATTTCTTAAATTTTTTAATGATCTTTACATATTTTACATTTAAAACTGTTTTTTATACTTATATAATTTTAACATTACCTTTCATTAGGATTTATGTAGCAATTAATCCTATTCTAAAACCAGAATTTTAAATAAACCTGATTTCTTAGATTTTTGGAATACTAGAAAAGGCTGTTTTCTAAATTACAGATACACTAAGACTGAACTGACAGCGATTTGAAAAAACTTTAATTCCTTCAAGCAGAAAAGCATTTCATGGTTTTGAAACTAGGCTAAAGCACAAAAAGATATGATTAATTAGATTCACATGACTTTAAAATATAAAAATACTCGTTAAGTTAAAAGCAGCAGTTACTTAGATTCAAGTGAATTTATGTATTTTATAACTGATCATGAAAACTTAAGAAGATCCTGTAAAAACTCCATCAATTACTCTAGTAAGGTTTGAAGGAAGAGATTTAATTAAAAAATTAATAAATATGAATTATGAATATGACACATAAAAAATTGCAATCTCAGACCTTCAGTTGACTAAACCTACGACAACAAGTCGATCGCAACACACTTTTAAGATAAAAAGTAGCTCTTATATATAGAAAGTTGTCCACCTCTGCTATAGATTATTTGAATTATTTAAATGAAATTTAGTATTTGGTGATAAGCCTTTAGTTACTACAATAGCTTTTAATCTATTTGGCATTGAATAGACAAATTTTTCTCAGTAATTGAAAGTAATTTTTTACCCTTATTTTTTTAATGTCTTTTCTAAATCTTTTGAATAGGATGTAGCAAGATTTTTTAAAATTTTCAAGTGGGCTGTAGATTACGGTATATCGTCACCAATTTGCGAAACCTAGCCAAATTTGGCAACATTGCATACCAAGCTGCGGAAACTATTAGGGTTACCATTTGTACTATTTAACTGGGCATTTTGAATATTCGTCATTTTACCGTGCTCTTCGTGGATAATCCAGCGAGTTAATGGCTGACGCCGAAAGAGTAGAATGAATGGAGTTTACATATCTGATTAGGTTTCAAGACAAGGATGAAAGGCGTACGATAGACAAGTGCATAAATTTTGTCTTTATTCCGAAAGTGCACGAGTGTCGTGTGTGCAAAAGTAGGTGGAAATTAGCTGAAAGAAGAGATGCGACAAATGTGTGTGAATGGCGGTATGTGTGCCCAGTCCTTCCAAAGTCAAAAAGGGATCTAGGAAAGAGCTCTTGGTTTTCCACAAGACAGTTGAAAGACATGCAAGAATCTAACATATTTGTGGGGTCAGAAATGCATGTGAGAGATCATACTGTGGCAGATTCGAAGATATTTTGTTAACAGGTGTGTGTGGAGGTGTGCTTGAGAAATAACATACTTGGAAAGGCTGGAAGTGTGATTGAAACTGATGAAAGCAAGTTTGGAAGAGGAAAGTATCACAATGAAAAGCACAAGGAAGACAAATGTATGATTGGAAATATTGAAGGGGGGATAAAATAAATACTTTTTCTGCATGGTTGAGAAGTGATTGAAAGAATATCCTTTAACCCGTTCAGCACGGGTGTGTCATATATGCATCAGCAGCAAACATTACCTCACGGCCGGGTGTGTCATATTTGAATCACCATTTAATTCATTTTACCAGACGGGCATACCACATTTGATTTTCTAAATAGAACGTTTAATTAATATTTTTTTTTTTGCCGCTAGATGTAGCCGTATGCCTGTTATGGGGAAATATTTTGAAAGTTAAGTATGTTTACCTTCATTCCTATGCAATGATTTTTATTTTTGGTATTTTGTTTCAGAATGAGAGGGAGATTCGTGGGTGGGTGTTGAGCAATGTAATGTCTCTTTAACTGTGTCATTTGATATAAACAAATGCACATGCTCTCGCTGCATTGAGGTTTTAATTTTATTTTTGCGATATAGTGGGATAGAGGTTCCATCATCAGAGTTTTTTTTTTTATTACTCTTAGATTTTTCGTGCTTTGAGATGAATATTTTTAATCAAAAGCAGTATTTAAACCTAGAATATACACAATCACTAATTGTTGAGTAACGTAATGGCTCTTACTGTAATTTATTAATTTTTCTAATATTTTTTTAATTTTTTATCGTTATAGTGAAGATGTTCTATCAGTAGAGGCTTTTTTATTACTCTTTGAGATGAATATTTTGCATCGCTTAGCAAAAGTGTTTTTTTTTTTTTTTTAAATGGCAAAATTAAAGCACTATCTGTACAAATGCTAAATGAGTCAAATTTGCTGAGTAAAATAGCAGCAGATATTATATTCCTGTGACTAATGCAACGTCGGACTTTGCGTACACCCATGTTTTAAAGAATTATCATACACCGTCTCTTTTTGAAACATTGCTTACTTTTCGCTGTTTGCTCATGAAAGACAGTTTTAATATTTTTTAATTTTAATTCAGTTTTAATATTTTAAAATTTTAATTGTGTGTTCTGTTAAATAAAATCTGCGATTATTTGGATATTTTTTCATATATATATATATATATATATATTTATTTGTGGGATAAGGAGAAAATTATATTATTCTAGAATGAGTATTTTATAAAATTTTTAAGGAAAATATAATAATAAAGGCTTAAAATTAATTCTGACGACTACCTGAATGTTCTTCTCATAATGTACCCAAAATTGGACGACAAATTTCATTTATATGAATTTTTTCTCAAAGTTAGGCTTAGCAGTGTAAATTGGCCGTTCCCACAGGACGACGCATCCGGTTAACGCGCCGTCCCAAGAGAACGCTTCGGTAACAGAGGTGCCAAAGCGTTCTCTTGGGAAGCTCCCCTTCGCGAATGGGTTAAAGATTATAAAAGAAAATATTTTGTCGAGACATATTATTATTTTGGACCACTGGAAGTCATATGATTGTCTTAGTGATTAGGGATTTATACACTTCTACACAAATCACAGTCTCATTTTTAATGGTCCGGAGAGAAATGACACAAATTCTATTAAGGATACATAGAGTGAAAGCAAAAAAAGTTTGAAGCGATACATACCTGGCTGAGTACATGTGGCAGAAAAGCATGCAGATTTTATCACCGAGTGACCGCTTTAAGGAATTTTTTAAAGCCATAAAGATTGTTTATCCACCACAGTCATCAGATGTATGACTGGTAAAGGAAAGGCTCATTTTTATTACTTTTCATAGATTTGTTAAACTGATTTTGACTCTGAATTGATAAATACAGATTTTGATTTAAATACAAATCACAATCAAAATAATTTTCGTTGGATGTATATTATATGTGGTTTGAATAAAATATACATGTAACAATATCTTTATATTGTTTTATAAGAACAGAAAAGACAGGCAAATTTTGCATTTAAGAAAAAAATTACATAATCAAATGTTATATGACTTAATTTTGAGACTAGTTTTTACTTTATAAGTTTAAATTTTTCTTAAAAATAAGTAGTGGTTAACTTTTGCTGTTGCTTGTGATAAATAAATGTGTACCTGAATGTTGATTTATAAAGGCTATTTCATATTTTATTTAAATTATTTCTTACATTGAAAATCAATTTATAAAATATTAAAAGAAAAAAGCATTCAACATTTACTTTGAGCCACTGAATATATAACGTTTTTTTTTTTTTTTTTTTTTGCATAGCAGAAAAATATAACTTAATGCAGTGTTTGAAACATTTAATATGTACGGATAAACACTAGCTTGAAAAAGTCAGTTTTTAAAATGCAAAATTAAAACAACCAATTTTAAGATTCTAATGAAATAAAGATTAATTTTCTGACACTTTACTATTTATCAAACATTCACTGCATAAAAATACTTTTTAGGAATGTAATGGGAAGGGAAGAACTTACCTCCATAGGACCAACTTGATTAGATCCAACATAAGTGGCCCCAAAACGATATCCCGAAGGAGTCGTATTGCTCATGCTCAAGTTTATAGAGTGACTAACCTGAAAATGACTACTCAGCATTTTATTAATCATTAACTTAGATCCTTCAAATGTAGTTGGGAAAACATCTGAAAGAAAAAAAAAAAAAAAAAATTCTCCAAATGAGAACAAATAAGCACAAAGCAAAATAAATAATACAATTATTACAGCAGAATTAACATAAAAATACTGGGTTTAGGTTATTTCAATATGGAAAAGCACATTGAGGCCAGGACTTGGAAGAGAAGGACTAGTTCATAGAGCCTCCCTTCCCTGAAACAGGAACTGAGGAGTGCTGGAGTAGTCATGTTGACACTGGCTGCAAAGACACAATTCTCAGCAAAGAAATAAACATTAAAAAAAAAAAAAAAAAAAAAAAAAAAAAAAAAAAAAAAAAGCCTTAAAAAACTGTGCATGAACAAATAGCTTTTAGCTTTAATTTAGAAGACAAGATGCCATTACTGTAAGCATTTATAACATTTAAAAAGTTAATACTTATTTACTAATTAAAAAATAATAGATAAACTATACTAAAATTTTCTTAAACGTTGTATACCTTTTATCCCTGTGGATTTATTATTAAATCATGAACAAAATACTTTAGCATAATCTTTTCTTTATCTGCATAATAAGTGGGAGAACTCTATTACTCTTTCTAAGATAACTATAACAGCCTTTTAAAGATAGAGGAGGAAAAAACTTGACGTAGTTTTGAATATATATGTCAATTCTTTTTTTTTCCCCTGCAGCTGAAGAAGAGGAACTTACGTTTGACTGCCTATGAGATCGATAGTTTTATTCAAAATTTAATCTATTCTAAGACCTAATTATAAATTTTACATTGGCATATTTCTCTGCCGATTTGATATAATAACAGATACTGTAAAAATAACTGTCTAACTGAGTTTTACACACATACATTAAATTATTACACATTACACTTAAATAAATACAAGATCGAACCCTTAAGGTTGACAAAACAACTTTGCTCAGAATATCTAACGAGAATTACTTAATTTTTCAAAAGATGAGCAAAGGTGAAAGATCTTTTTTTTTCGCAAATTTACTTTGACGTTTCAGACAATTATAAATTAGCTAAAATGCTGAGTTAAAAAAAAAGGCTAAACTCAGTGGCATAACAGCCCTAAAGCTGCGTTCAGACGTGGGCATAAAGCGCAAGGTTCACACCTGCGAGACGGGGTTCTAAGCTGTGGCCATTGAGAGAAGTTAAATTTGCGCATGCGTGAATGTGTCCACACCTTTTGTGCGCTGTTTTCCAGCTCAACTGATTTCTTGCACTCGCTCTGCTCGTTTTCGTTATTTTGTGCCATGGCTTTTTCAGCTCAACACAGTTTTACTGGTTCAACAGAATGCTCTTTTATCTGCCCTTCTTATAAGCCAAGTGGCAACGGAAGAAGGTAAAAAAGAAAAATAACAAAATGGTCTAGATATTTTTTTGAAAGACCAATACTTGGTTGGCACATATCTTTCTGTGCAAAGCAGTATGGAATATTTCTGCATTGTACTGTAGTACTCTCTATACTATAAACATGCACATGCATATTATATATATATAAAACCTTCTTCAATTTTTATATAATTTCTCTTAGGAGAAATACGATATTCTAAATATGCCTAATTAAAAAAAAATCTTGAGGATAACTAACAGATAGCCTGTATATAATATTTTTCTATTTTGCAGGTGTGAAAGCAGTTAAGCTAAAAACAGTACTTACCATACATTATTATTATTTTTTTTTTTTAAATTTTCAATCAAAAGGAACATGTTTCTGTGACAGTGAAACATGTGTGCTTAGCACTCCTTATTCACTGTCCCTGTCGATCACTATAGTAGTTTGCTGCACTACCAGTATCAATTATCACTAGTACTAGTATCCCACAACTGGTCACAATGACCAGCAACCACAACTAGTACAATACTAGGAAACGTTCACCCAACAATGTATTTTATGCTCAATCATTAAATACATTTTGCTGTCTTGCCAGCTGTTTGTATACATCTATTTTTAATAATTTGCATGTATAAGCCGCACCCCTGAATTTAATTTCAACATATGCTGTCATTTCTATTTACGACCAAATCTCAAAAGTAAATTTCACATTGACAAATTTTAGGTACCCAAGTCTTCAAATACATCAAAATTATAAACATTCATACCTTATCCAGGAATTTCTACCAGAGAAATAGCATGAATTTAATGATCAAAACTCCATTCAAATGATAGTAATAAAGAGTGGATAATAATAACAAATACTATTCATTAAATTATAGTCCATGTTATGAATTATGTGTGCTATTTAGTTTCATTAAAAGTAAATTCCTTTCATGGAGAACGTAATTAAAAAACAGAACAGAACTTCAACAGGAGACAAAACTGTCTAGACTGTTGATTTAAGGATATTTCACTACATTTTTTCTTTCTTGGAATTCATAAGAGCATTTTCTCAAAAGATTAATCTTTTATTACTTATACAAAGCTTACACCATTGAATTGACTATTGTGACTATTCTTAAATAAGTGAAAATAATTTTTTCTTTTTTTTTAAAATAATTTTTACTGTTAAAAAAAAACAGCAGATTCTTGATATTGATTTGATGTTTTAGTAAAATTAATTCATGAAGTTTGTTTGGAAAGAAAATCAGCATTTGAAGCAAATAGCAATACAATATTTCCAGCTTTTTTAATAAATTTATTCTTAAATACAAAAAATAATTAAACAGGAAAAAAAAATATAGTAATAATTTAAAAAAATTATAGACAGAAAGAAAGTAATAATAATAATTTACACAGAAAAAATAAAATTTTTGCAAGCATGCATTTTTTTAAGAATTTTCATAATAAAATGAAAAATATTGAATGGGATCAAACATCTACAGGATCATACAGAGCGTGCATAATCCTGAGCTTAACTTTCGCTTTACGAATTTCATCCATATTTTTCAATATAAATGGAAAAACTCATTAAAAATGCATGCCATTATCGTAGACTTCTCGCGAGATCAACTCTTTATTTTGTTCAGATACGATTACAACTCATTATTTGTTTTACAACTCATTCAGATACGATGTGTTCCATATTAAAAAAAAAACGTTGCCTTCGATGTGACAGCGAAATCATCTAAAGAAAGCCAATTCGTTTTAGCTTTGCTCTGATTGGTCGATGCTTATCCCAAACTCGGCGTAAAGTTGAAAACTTGGAACCCTATGCCACGAGCCTTAAACCAGATTCTGTGACGTAGCAGTGACTGGTTGCCTTGGCAACAGAGCTCGGCTTTAACCACTTACGCCCTCGTCTGAACGGGGCCTAAGACTGCGTTTAGATGGGGGCATAAAGGGCATAAGTGGTTAAAGCTGAGCTCCATTTCCAAGGCAACCAGTCTGTGCTAAGTCACAAAATCTGGTTTAGGGCACACGGCGTAAGGTTCTGAGTTTTCAACTTTACGCCAAGTTTGGGTTAAGTGTTGACCAATCAGAGCGAAGCGGCTTTCTGCAGATGATTTCGCTGTCACATTGAAGGTGGACTTTTTTTAATATGGAGCATATCGTATCCGAACGAAATAATGAGTTGATCTCGCAAGAAATCTACGATGATGACATGCATTTTTAATGAGTTTACACAATAAATTGAAAAATACAGTACACTCCCGATTATCAGCGCCAAGTTTTTTTTTGTTTGCAAGTGTAAAGCAAAGAAAATAAAAATGTTCACAAAACTGAGAAAAATGTTAAATTTGCTAACATCATGCTTACTTATAGCAAAAATATCTCAGGCCTTCTCGGAACCTTCTCCTCTGATGAGTAAATGATTTCTTACTCACCCTTGCAGTGCCCGCTTCACTGTGCTCTCTCGTCTTAATCTTACTGACACGTCCACTTCCTCCCACTCACCATTGTTAGTTTAAGCCTGATAGTGTTTGCGAACCAGCCAGAGTTAATTTCTTATCTTTTATTGTGTTCAGTGCTTGTGCTTTTTGGTTTTGTGTTTTTCGTTACCGATTTAAAATGTCAGGAAAACGAAAGAAGGTTGTGTTGACGATTGCACAAAAAACTAGAATTAATTTCCAAAGTACCAAACGGCACTACAAGGCAGCAGATGGATTACGGAATCGCGGAAACAACAGTGCGTGACATTCTAAAGCAAAAAGACAAACTGGTAAACTTTGCATTCAATGTCGGACAGTGCTTCCGCAATGAAAACGTGAAAAACTATGAAGGGTAGTGCTTCCGCAATGAAAACGCGAAAAACTATGAGGGGTTCTACCTTTGATGAGCTAGACATGGCATTGACAGAGTGGTTAGCTCAAGTTTGAAAAGAGGGTACTCCTGTAAATGGTCTTATCATTGGGGCGAAGGCAAAAACCTTTTTTGAGTTGTAAGGCCTGAAAGGAAATTTTGATGCGTCTTCTGGATGGTTGACTCGTTTTAAGTAGCGACATGGAATTCGAGAAATTAAACTTCATGGGGAGAATATATTAAGCGTAATAAGCTAAAATATTAAGCGTTAGTTCAACATTTCCTGCTGTTTATTTTACTTTTTATACATAAAATGATTTTTCAAAGTTTGAATGACTGTTTTTTCTTTTGCTATATCCCTTTTTAAATTTCTTTTCGGATTATCCGCGATTTTTGTTATCCTCAGGTGACCGCGCCACCCAATTCCGCGGATAATCGGGAGCGTACTGTATGGATGAAACTCGTAAATTGAAAATTAAGCTCAGGATCATGCACGCTGTGTATGATCCTGTAGATGATTGATTCCATCCATTATTTTTCATTTTATTATGAAAATTATTTAAAAAATGAATGCTTGCAAAAATTTTATTTTTTCTATGTAATCTACTATTATCATGTAAATAATTGTATTCTTCACATTAATAGAATCTTGTCTTCCATACATGTATTTATTTATTTCGTCAAAAGCAAATTATTCTTTGGAAAAATACGAGACATTATATCACCATCTTTCTCATTTGGATGAATTTCATGGCACTTTGCTAGAATGCATGAAGACATACTACATCAACGATACTTTGCTACAGTGGTCTCAGACTTACATTGCACACCAGCCAACGCACAATCTGAAAGTAGCTGACGGGCAGCAGTTACACACAAAAAGAGGTATGATTTATTTCTTTAACAAAGTTTGTTAATTAAATTAAAAACTTTTTACTAGATATTTGTAAAACTATATGAATAAAAACAATGCAAGGAAAAATATCAAATTTATACTGTCTAACCACACTAGCGAGAGCATTTTGGCTGAGAGCCAAGATGGGTCAGTTTAATTGAAGGGGTGTAGGTGAAAAGCTTGGGTAAGTTTCCCCTCTCAGAAGTCTGGGGGTCATTTAGTGCTTTGGAACTACTCTTATATGCGTCCTCAGGTCGCCCAAATCCCCGCTGCCATATTACTATCTAAATTTTTTGTCTATTTCGAACTTTAAATCTAAAATGTGTCCCAAAATGCGGCCATGTGCTCAGCGATATGTTTTAATTTAACATCTCAAATTGCACAATCTAGGCATTGGAAGAATCTATGAACTACGCACACCTCACTTTAATAAATTAACATAGCAACAATAAATTTCAAAGAATACCATGTACACAGCATTTTGTTTCAACTTTAAAAAACATCTACAAATTGCACAATCTAGGCACTATGTACTAATCAACAAAATAAACTAAAATAAATTTGTAACAATTAAAAAAAAACAATAACAACAGAAATTCATACTAAACAATGAACATAACATTCTACAAAATAAGAACAAGAATAAAATAAAATGCACTTACCATGAATGAATGCTTTTTCCAAAAGCAGAAATACAAATTTCATATTGCCTTTAATACGCCACCACGTAATCACTATCCTATTTATATGACAGCCAGACACACTATCCAGAAAATTCATACTATGGTTCACAAATAAATGTTCAAAACCTTCTTTTCCTAAATCCTTGTAAGATTTCCATCCACCCCAAAAAAAAAAAAAAAAAAAAAAAAAAAAAAACAGTTGTACCAAGATCAATCCACTCTTTAATACACTGCATCAGCATTTCCCTACTTCTATCATGCACAGCCACTAAAAATAATCTCCCACACCCTCTTTCCACGCATTCAAATACCCACTGCCCCTAAAGAGGATGGGCATGATGAGTTTTTTTTTTGCCAAACTTCAATTCATCAACTTCCACCACTTTATCTTCCCCCCCCATCTTCTCAGACACAGAGCATTATACAGAGCAGACTCGTTAACAACTCCAAACCAAAAACTGTTTTCATGTAAATGTACTCAAAAACAAAGTATGTAT